AACATTAAAGCATGTCAACATATTCTGTTACACCAAATACACCAAATAATTATCTTTAAAAAAGCATCATATGACCCCTTTAACCCTTAAATGGGAAAAAAAACTTCTGAAAATTAATTTACTGCTATTTCAACACGACTCAGATAATACAATTTCATCTGCTTTTTTATTTTAAAATTTTACTCACACCTTACGTGTTATATGTGTGAAAATAATAATAGCAATTAGATTTTTTTTTTATTCTTTAAATAATTTTAATAAGTGTATCTGTCCCAATCAAAACCTAGTAAGCTAAAAAATATATATATTATAAGTAATTTACCAGGTATCCATCCAAGTAGTGTTGTTTTTGTTTGGGCAAAAGCACATTATAGAACAATACAATAAAAAAATCAATATAAACTGATTGGAGTGTACCTGATGCTTTGATGTTAAGTATTTTCAATGAGCTACTATTATGGTCACTCAGACCCCAAATACCAGGAACTGCAATAGTGAAAAACTAAATGATGACCAGTTGCAGCACCTAAAATATAGGCTGCAAGTTCCCTTTAACTTTATATTTTAACATTTAGGTGAAATGCTACGGTTTTGTTATTAGTCACCGTTTGTCAAGCAGGCCTACTCTCAAATACAAATGGTCGAGTGATGTGTTATTATGTTGCTGAGTCAGTTTGGCCATCCAGCATGTCACATTCTACTCACCCTCTCCACTGCCTCCACTGTCAACTCGTCCGCATTCACTGCCTGCATTCTCAATCCTCATGAAGTTCCTTATGTCCTGTTCTTGTGTGACAGTCAGTACTCAGTGGTAATGTGTGAGGGGGTGTTTTTGGAGTCCTGTCAGGTCATGTGTGCGGGGGGCAGATCTAACGGGATGGTCCACCGGCGGCACACGTGGGTAGCAGCACTAAATAAGAGCGGACGGGACTGACGCCACACTTCATTCACTTCACTCTCAAATCATTCGGCTCCTTCACATTCGATTCAGCGCGAAGCCTTTTGCTCTCTTTGGCTGTCGTTAGACTGTAGGTTGCGCTTAACCACACCCCGCTGTCGAAGCCCAGAGCCCTCGGGATATTTTTAGCTCTGATGATGTCCGCTGTCATCTAACGGAAAGATCATCCCGGAATCACAGAGCGAATCTGCACGGTGTCTGCGCGCGCTCGCTTGAGTCGCTTTATCTAACATGAGGGCTCAAAGCGCTTTTATTATATGGACTGCGATGGTTCTGCATTCGTCTGTCATCAGAGGTAAGCGCATGGCTTATGATTTGCTTGATTTCAGCATGAATACAGCAACGTGATTCTATAATGTTACAGTAGCCTATCTGCAGGCTTTGTCTTACTCGCATGTTTTTTTTCCTTCTTCTTTCTGATTAATCACTAGTGATTTATATACGTCTTATCTGTTTGAAATGACATTGTTTAGTCTATGGAACAAATTATGAGACAAAATCCAATCATCCATCCTTCTAGCCATATGTCTATCTCTATACAATATCTATCTATCTATCTATCTGTCTGTCTATCTATCTATCTATCTATCTATCTATCTATCTATCTATCTATCTATCTATCTATCTAC